TATTGTAAAATAATTTTTTTATGTGTTTCACACCGCGTGAAAAACCAGTCGTGTAACATCGACGGTCGCTCCTGTACTATAACATACCTGTATTTGGCAGGAGCGAAAATATCCCTGTGTGAGAATACCAGCCAAGCCCAGAAATTAGTAAACTTTATTATTTCAGCGGTCAGAGTACTGATGAGAACGCATCTCTAGATTTAGATTGCATCTAACCATTTTAAATATCTTTTCGGATCTTCAGAAAGATAACTCCGTTTTCTTCACGACTTATGGGTCTTTGTATACAAATGCATGCATGTGTAAAACTATAACTGATAACGAAATTTTATCTCTCTCAATTTTTTTTACGCACGTACGTACATACGTACGTAAAAGGCTTGTTCCAATGATTTTTTAGGGTAAGTCTAGCCGTTTTAGTTAATTTATGTTTTTGTTACATGTTCTGCATTTTGGCGAATGACATTTGGGTCACCAGGTCTAGTATTTGGTCACCAAATCTAAATATTTGGAGGAACCTTTTTTTTGACCCTTTGATTTTCTGTATTTAGAATTATTATTATTGTTATACTGTAATAATGAACTCTATCAGAATAAATTATAGGTCATATCGCAATTCTAACGTTTAAAATATTGTTAGTTACTGTTACTTAGAGTACCTCACTTTAGGAACCGTTATACCGTCATTTGTGTCACATTAGTATGTCAGATACATATCTAATTTACATAATCCCAAAAAAACTTAAATTTTTTAGATAATAATAGCGATAGATTTAATTATATTATTATTGTTTGGTATATATGTAAATAAAAAATTGTTTTCATTAATTAATAATTGTTTTTTGAAGCACACTTCAAAATAATATCGCGTTTGTTTTTTTTAAAAAAATCTTGCAAATATAAAAATAATTTTATTAGCTTACTTAATACGTACGTAAAAAGCAATTTAAAAAATTATCTTTTAATGTACATACATATTATACGTACTATTTCAATGAAAACTTTATGTTTCGTATATATTTAGCAATAAAAAATATATATATATATATAAGTTAAAAATTTTATCCATGTTAAATAAAATTTTAATAAATATCTACATTATGCATATTGACTATGTCAGATGTTCGTACGTACTGACACATTAAACTGACACACCATACGCTGGTGTAACGTTACTGACAAATGACGATGACGCCCTTAAGATGGTCATATAATAACGCCCATCGTGCTTCTTCTTTTATTATAAAAAGATCTGAAATTTCATGATCAGAAATTTCATTTCTTTGAATTTAAGAAATCTATCTTTACTACAAGTGTACGATATTTGTTGCTAAACTAAGCTGTAATTTATTGGCAAAAGTCATGTTGTCATAACATTTTTGTTATATGACTTATTCAGCCATTCCTATTGATATCGCGCTATTCTCCATTGACTGGTCTTGAGAATCATAATAAATCGTAATTGCTCTTTTTTGTTTTTTTGTTTACTAATATCATTTCCTTGTAATCACGTGATACTCCATCTTGTAGAAAAGAAAAAAATGGTAAATGAGCAAGGCAGCAGTGTAATTTCTGGTCATAAGCCTACAGATGTCAATCCAAATGATCCTTTAACGCTCGTGATAATACAGGTTAGTCCTTCGATTATCGTTATTTAACTACTAAATTTGTTTTTTTTCAATAAATGTTATATGTTTACAAATTTTTCCTTCCTTTTCCGTTTCGTGTAACAGATCGTCCTCATTATTGTTTTCACTCGTGTTCTCAATGTTGCTCTCTCGCGTTTTCGCCAACCTCGCGTCATATCCGAGGTCATAGGCGGCATTATCCTGGGTCCTTCGGTCATGGGCAACATCCCTGGATATATGGATGTTATATTTCCTAGTGGATCTTTAACCTACCTTAATTTACTTGCGAATTTGGGTTTGATCCTCTTTTTATTTATTATCGGCGTTGAATTAAATCCTAAAGTGTTGATTTCAAATGCAAAAACTGCATTAACTATCTCTGCTGCTGGCATATGTTTACCTTTCACTCTTGGTATTGGTGTGAGTTATGGATTGTATCAATCTTTGAACAGTAATAATAATGTCCCTTTTTCGAGTTTCATGCTTTTTATATGTGTCGCCATGTCAATTACGGTACGCTTATCATTTTCTTTTACGTGCATCTGCCTTCAATGATTAATTTATTGATTTTCAGGCATTTCCCGTACTTGCCCGTATCTTGTCCGAGCTTAAGCTTCTTAGGACACCAGTGTACTGATAATTCGATTTATAGATTATTTTATTTCTTTTGTGTCATTTTAATTCTAACCTTATCCCTTTTTTTCCTTCCTTTTTCAAAGTGGAGTTACTGCTCTTACTTCCGCTGTCGGTGATGACATCGCTGCTTGGGTACTTCTTGCCTTAGTGGTTTCCATCATAAATGCTTCGAATGCCCTTTCTGCTCTTTACACTTTCTTGCTTTGTGCCGGTTGGACTTTGTTTGTAGGATTTGGCATTCGTCCAATTTTAATGATGCTTATTGTTAGAACTGGCAGGTCTGATTTAACTTTTTTTTCTGAGATTATTCCGAGTTTTTCTGAAGTTTTTTTAAAAAAATTTATCTACTGTTTTTTTTTTAAAAAAAAAATTTTAGTAATGATTTTGGTGGTCCATCAGTAACAATGGTGGCCATTACGTTATCGTTAGTTTTAACATCCGCCTTTATTACGAATATCATCGGAATTCATTACATTTTCGTATGGGTTATATTTAAAATTTTTTTTCTATATGCACCTGTGATTATTGTTAACTCTAAATTCTGAATAGGGTGCCTTTATTATTGGCGTAATTGTACCGCATGAGAGTGGTTTTGCGATAAGCATTGCTGAAAAGATTGAGGATGTGGTCAGCGTCTTGTTTTTGCCAATTGTAAGTGTTTTTTTCTTTTGTTAATTTAAGCATTAATGCATCATTAATTAGTATTAATGTTAGTCTATTAATATATTTAATGTAGTATTTTGCTCTTTCTGGTCTTAAAACTCAACTCGGTTTATTGAATGATCTTCATATATGGGGTTGGCTTCTTTTGGTGATTTGCGTCGATATGTTTGGTAAAATCACTGGTGCCACCCTCGCAGCTAGATTAAACAAACTAACCTGGAGAGAATCTCTTACGATCGGTGTTTTCATGAGTTGTAAAGGGTTATTTTCATTTCAAATTATTTAATTGTATACCTTTTGATCACCCGTGTTACTCGCTTTATTTATAAGTGATGATGTCAATTTCATTTTTTATAAAGTCTGGTTGAATTGATCGTACTTAATATTGGCTATGATGCCGGAGTGATCAACGGCAGAGTTTTCGTAATTATGGTGACTGTGTATGTATCTTTTATATATATATATATATATATCTTATATTTATATATCTTTTATCTTTCATATTATATATTAAACATTTCCACTAAATTTTAATAGTGCCCTTGTAATCACATGTACCACGACTCCTCTGGCTATGTGGCTTTATCCAAGAAAATATAGAAGAATGATGGAACGTATACGGGCCGGTCATGTCACGACTTCGATTGAAGGTGATTCTTGGAAAGAATCTCGTGCATCTGACGATACACTAACCGATCTATCCAAGAATAAACGTTTATTGGTTGTTTTAAATAAAATTGAATGGTTACCTGGTATGATGATGTTGGTGCAATTATTACAACCATTTCCTTTATTTCCTAAACCTACTTCGAGGAGGAATAGTGAAGTTACTCCTGATAGATCATCAAGACCAGTGATTGATTCAATTAATATTAATAATGATAATAATAATAACAATAATAATGAACCTATGACTGTTCATGCTTTACGTCTTGTCGAACTTACTCAACGTATTTCTGCTGTGATGAAATTTAATGAAACTGAGGAAACTTTGTTACATGATCCAATAATGAACGTTTTTCGAATGTTTGGTCAATTAAATTTTGTCGATATTAAGGCTAATCTTACAGTTGTTGCTTTTCATGATTTTGTCAAAGAAGTAGTTGAGAATACAAGAAAAACGAGTTCTGATCTTGTTATAATTCCATGGGATGGTGCTGGTGCTGTAATGAATGATGATTCTTTTGAAGAAATAATTGGTCCTCGTGGAAGGCTATTTAAAGGTCGTGAAAGGAAAGAGACTAGTCCACAAATTTCGGCTTTTGTACAAGGTGTATTTAACGAGGTTCATGCAAATGTTGGCTCTTTCGTTGATAGAGGATTTGGTGTTAAATCATCACAACAAGGAAGTACTCCGAATTTATCAGTTCACGTATTCTTACCATTTTTTGGAAGTATAGATGATAGAGAAGCTCTGATATTCGTTGTTAGATTATTAGAACATCCTCATATCACTGTATCTGTAGTTCGAGTAAGGACACAAGATGATCACAACACTGATATTCAAGAAGGAATCCAAGAAGGACTTCAAGATAGAATTGAAACAATTCAAGAAAGCATTACTGATTCCGTTGATAATAATGAGAATTCAAATGCTGATAATTCAAATAAAGCACCTATGCGGCCTCCTATGGTGCATACTAAATCATCATCTTCAGTTCAAGTGTTGACACAAGGTGATAAGAGAGAGCCCGAATCAATTGATAGTGCTTTATTAGCACATTACTTTAGTTTAAAAAATGGTATATTATGTAACAATGATCGTATAAGTTATACTGAAGTCGTAACTACAACTCCTTTAGCAACAGCCATAGGGATTGCAAATGAAAAGGCTAATAATGGTAAAGATTTGATTGTATTGGGACGTCGTAGAACAGCACCAGCAATTTATCGAAAAGAATTCATGAGCATGGGTAAAAGTTATGGTAATGAAACTAGGAAATGTTTGGGTATTGTTGCTGAAGCATTTATGATTAGTGAAGTAGAAGCAAGTATTCTTGTTATACAAGGAAAAAATGGTGTGAGAAAAACTGTTGCTATATAATTTGCTGGGATAATTAAATTTTTTTGAAGGGTTTTTTAGTGTTAAACTTTTATTTTATTTTTTTTTAATGTACATTGGAAACTTGGGATTTTTGTCAAATGTTATGTAATATTTATCTTTAATTTGTATATTTGACAAATTTGCTTGCTTATTTACTAGCTTTTTTAAAAAAAACAATATTTTTTAGTAAATAAAAAAAAAACAACTTTTTTTTTCTTTAAACAATTCAAAATATAATATTTTTATATAAAATATAAATTTTCAAATTACAACATTATAGTATTTTTTAAAAAAAATGTTCTATAGTTAATCTTTATAATTGTTTTATTTTTTATTTTTTTTAATTATTTTTGAATTGATGAGATAAAAATGTAGAATTTAGTTTCTAAAAATGTATCCGGACAGTTCGTTTTTGTAGCAGCCAATCCGTTCAAGTCTTGCTGTGTATATGTGTCATTAACAGACAAATCGGATTTAATAACCGCTATGCTTATATCAAGTTTACGGCATCGTTATATTTAAGATACAAAATATCATAATAATATAACGCATATTTTACAGAACACCGAAGATTTTTAATTACAAAATAAGCATCAAATTATCTATAATAATTAAACTAATAAAAGGATCAAAACTAGTCGCAAAAATTTGCATAATAATATTTCAAATATACAGAATATGATTTTTATAGTTGACCAACCGATTTGTACAAGTAATAATATTATTTTATAGACAGTTTTAGTGAATCCATGATTATATAAACAACAGAACAAGAAACCATGCTGCGGAAACAAAAAATGACCGTTCACGAAAATTCAGTATCTTGAGTACAATGAATAATTAGTTAAAAAGTAACATTTGTTGCCATTAAAAAATAGATGTAACAAAAATTATCACACTTACCATCAGTATTAATTTTACATTTTCACTCAATTTTTTGACCCAAATTTTTTAAAATCTCTTTGAGTTTTTCAATCTCTTTTAATTTTTCAATTCGTTCCTCTTCCAATTCTTCGACACGTAGTTTTAACCCATTATAATAATCTTTTGTTTTTTGTCTTGATCTCCTAGCCGCCGCACGATTCAAATACTTTCTTCTTAAGCTTCTTTTGTCTTCAGCTTCTTTATCATCATCACGGGACCTACGCTTTTTTACCAATTCATTAGGTAATGTTTGATTAGCAGGAATCGCATCTTTGTCGATATTTGCAGGCTGAGTGGATGAAGGGAACATGGGTGTCGAATTTGCAGTAGCGGATGAAGTTGGTGAATCTTGAAGTGCTAAGTCACCCTTACTGCTAACAGATGCGTTGCAGCCAGTAGTGAAGGATGACGTGGGAGAGGGTACCAGGTTTGCAAGTGAGCCTCGATTGTTTGGATATTCCACAAGTTCATTAGACGATATGTGAACATTGTTTGAGAATGGAAAATTATAATTTGTGGGCTCTATCATAATATCATTTTGATCCGTCAGAAACATCATCGGATAAGGGAGATGATGCATTTGTGATGAGCAGACGTATTCGAAAGGTTCTTCGGTGAAGATAGAGGCATAGATTGGTAAATGACTATGGAGTGTATTATCAGAAAGCATCGGAAGCGAAGAAGGAACAAGATATTGCTGCGCTGTATGATCTGAACGAATATCATGGAAAGGGACGGTGATTTCATGGTCAAATTTGATGGGATGAAAATTATTATTTATATTATCCATTGAGTAGCGAAGAAAATAAGTGATGACAGTAGCGACAGAGATGATCAAGAAAGAATAGATAAGATGATTCCTAGTATTTAAACATCTTAATTGTATTGATCCTAAGTGAATTACAAGTTCATCTTTCATTGTACTGATGTCAGTTCGTTTCACTGTGCATAACAATTTCGTGCGCGAAAAACGAATGAGAGATAATCATGCAATGATGTGTTCTTGGTCTTATAAGCAATGCATCACTATATTCAAAATGCATTTATAAAAACCCAGGCAATCACGTGTTTAATTACACCGAATTTCTATGTTCCAAAATTACCTGTTTCACGAATGAAGTAATTCGGGAAAAAGATCAATTACGTTACAAAATCAACTTAAAGATAATCACTGTTTTTTATTTATATACTAATTATACAGTATACTCTTTACAAACATATCAAAGTTATTATTATGTTATTTTATAAAACATAAGTAATAAAAAATTTGTTAAGGTATATATTTTTTAAAAGTTAATGTACGTGCGTGCGTAGGTAGTAGTTTTGTTATTTTTATAAGGCGGCATCCATAATTTACGTTAAACCAATAGAAATAGAGATTTTGATGATAATACTATATGGTACGTATGAGTAGGTTATTTTAAATATATATTTAGATTAACGAATACTTTTCGATTAAAATTAAAAGTAAATACTCATGGATAATTTTTTATTTTAAATACTTAGTTTAATAAATTGTTTTAATATTCACGAAGTGTTAATGAAATTAAATAGTAAGTATTTATAACTACATATTTAGTTCCAAATTCAATTTTTAAATTAGTTGCGAGCCCATATATGCACTTCAAATTTTATTGTAGCCTGCAGACTTCAAAATTTCAGACTTTAATAATTTATTTAAATGCTTAGATTATCAAAATTTTTTTTATACTTGCTAAGCAAATAAATGAATCATAATTATATATATAGAATAATATTCAAATTAATAAATTTTTTTATACTTATAAAATAAATTACATAGTAAAGATTTATGAATAGCTTAATTTAAATACTTAAATTAATTATACTTAGGGTTGAAATAAAAATTATAATTACATATTACAGTATTAAATAAAACAAACTGTATTAATTTTTTTAAATAATTAGAATTTAAAATTTGTTAAATAATTAGAAATTATTTTCATTTCTGGCTCTAGCGCAACTATGTTGCGCAGCTATCTTATTCTATACTATAGGCCGTATCATCACTTCTGATACATCACATTTTATAAAATAAATTAAAAAGTTTATTAATAATATTAAAT